ATATATATATATATATATAAAATTTGTGAACGTGTCTATTTTTGTAAACTTGTTTGCACATTTGCATATATAAAACAAAAGACTTTTATTTTGAACTAGCGACACGAGGGACCCGTTGCCTAGTAACCCGATGTCAACTTCCTTTTTACAAAACTTCAAACAAACTAGCTACTTCTTCAATTGCTGCCATTCTTATGAAAATATAACAGGTATCTTCTTTTATTGGGTAGACAGGATAAGTCACAGTGAACATTCATGACGATAAGTTACATTTAAATTTGTTTTAAATATGGTAACATGTGCTAGCTATTAGCTCTCTGAAACGTTAGCTTTGGGGTTTATTATGAGTTGACTATTTACCAGCTGATTGATAACTTGTATTTTTTTTCCTAGACCACAAAATAAGTGAAAATGTCGGCGAGGAAAAATAAAACTCCATCATGTAACGAAACGGTTGGAAATAAAGTATATTAAACCTTTCATCTTTACCCTTGAAGCTAAATTAACCTGAGCCTAATGATAATATTACCTGAAATTTGAAACATAGCTGTGGTTATAATAACTCTCCTCCCTCTACGCTCAGTTTGAGCCTCTACATGTGGAGATAAAATCCCCAGCATCAGCGGTGCTGCTGTTGAACTCTCCAGACGAGGACACACTGGTGAAAGCATGTGAAGTAATCCGCACTTTCGCAGAAAAAGGTATAGCAAAACAAACGGAATTCACTTTGGCCCTGCCYGATCTTATTTACTTGTTTACAAGATTTACTTGTATAGCACATTTCAGCAACAAGACAATTCAAAGTGCGTTACTTGGTAAAGCCTAAATTTTATCCTTCAACGTTGCTTTTAATTGCATGTCTTGTTGTTTACTGTCTCCCCCTGCTGTTAGGAGATGAGAATAAGGTTTCTCTGCTGGGACATGGAGCCTTGGAGCCTCTCTGCAGGCTTATTAACCACAACAACAGACTGGTCAGAGGCAATGCTTTCACTGCCCTGGGCATCATGGCCACAAACAGTATGTCTTAAAGTGCAACAAAGACTTTGCACTGGTTTCTCTTGATTAAGTACGCAGGCTACACAAAGACTTTGCTGTAGGTAGCAGTAAAGTTTCCTGATCACTTTGCATGGCAGAACGCTTCCTGAATATGTCAGAGTTTATTTTTATTTGTTTAACAATATGAATGGATGGCCTCGTTTTGAGTCACTATAGTGTTTTTCTCATGTTTTGTCTGAAAGGTGTCATAAGAAGTGCTTTGAAAAAACTAAATGTCGTCCCATCGATCATAGAAAAACTCTCAGTTGAAGGTGAGTATTTTTTTTTCAAAGCTTATTCTTATTGTAGGTACTCAGGCAGTCAAAATACAATAAACAAACTTACAATACTGCATATTTGTTCCTTGTGTTGCCTCAGAGARTACAGTGATCCATGAGTTTGCAACACTGTGCCTTGCGTCTCTGTCGGTGGATATCATCAGCAGTGTTCAGATCTTTGAGAACAACGGCCTCCCACTTCTGATTGCACTCCTGTCCAGCTCAGACCCCGACGTGAAGAAGAACTCACTTGAGATCATCTTCAACCTGGTTCAGGTGACTGCTGAGCCAACACTAGTTTGCCTTTTTTAAAACACGTTCATCATCATTTAAAACATGTTGCTGTTTTTCTTTTTTTTTCTTCTTTTTGAATGTTTGTGGTTTTGGTGAAAGAAGCACTACAAATCTTGCCAGGCTGTACATGAATTTGGTGGAATTCCTCCGCTGTTGGATCTGCTGAAATCCAAGTTTCCCGTCATTCAGCACCTGGCTTTAAAGACTCTGCAGTGCGTCACTTCGGATGAAGACACATGCAGCACCTTCAGGAACAAGAGTGGATTTCAACAGCTCATGGATATCCTCCAGAAGCAGGTGAGTGGAAAGGAAATGTGTTTTTGGTTTAAAAAAATGTTTTCATTCTGTCATTTTGTCAAACTAAAAGGAGAAATATTTGTTTTGGTATTTCATTTAATTGCACATTCATCTTGAGCTCCTGCACATTTTTTTTTCTTTCAGGAATTTAGTGACTTGCATGTTGAAGCTTTACAGGTAGTGGCCAACTGTTTGAGGGAGCATGAGGCTGTTCAGCAGATCCACGAGGGTGGAGGACTGGAGAGGCTGATGGACTTTCTCCTCACCCCCAGCAATCCTGAAATCCAGTCCACTGCCATTAAATGTCTGTCCAGGGTGGCACAAAACTGTAAGCACACTCACAAAAAAATAACAAAATGAACCAAAATTCTTTATTTCATCAATGCAAGATGTTAGGAAATTTTTGTGTGTGTGTATGTGTTGCTGCATGTGTAGCTGAAAGCCACAGAGTTCTCTATGAGCAGGAAGTGGAAAAGGTTCTAGCGGAGCTTTTATCTGTGACGGACACCAGCGTGAAAACATCTGCCTGTCAGGCTGTGGCTGCGGTCAGCTTCCACCCACCCAGCCAGGACCGCTTTAGAGACCTGGGTATGTGCACCGTCACCGAGCTACAACCGGACCAGAACACTCGTAACAAAATGTATATGTGTGCATTGTTCATGTGTTTCAGGTTGTATCAATACAGTGGTACAGCTTCTGAGCAGTGAGAGCCTTGAATTAATCGAGGCAGCAACCCGGGCTCTTTTTACCCTCACACGAAACAACCAGACGAGTTCCCTGTGAGTGCCAAACTGAAACCCAYAGAAGAAGTTAGAGCAGAGCAAACTGTCCTTCCACTGATAAATCTGAAAAAAAAAAAAAAATTTAAAAATCCTCTCGTCACTAACATGGTGTGTTTCAGAGAGGTGTATAAGGCAGAGGGCCATAAGATCCTGGTCCAGCAGCTGGATGGAAGCTGTCCYGGGGCAGTGGCCAGTTCTGCTGCCACACTTTGCAACATGGCCGAGGAGGAAGTGATCAGGTCGAGCATCTCGTCCCTCGGAGGCATGGTGGCTCTGGTGGAGCCCCTGAAGTCTAAAGATCCTCAGGTCCTGATCAGCGCCACGCAGTGTGTAGCACTTCTGGCCTGTGATGCAGAAGTCCGGCCTAAGGTCTGATGTTTTCTGTTAAGCAAATTGTCTTTTAAACTTTAGTGATTTTTCTGTTGTTTTCTCACATCTCACTGATCAAATACAAACAAACCATAAAATCATTTTTTTCATTTAAATGAATAAACCGTATTGTAATGTCACAGAGTAACTAAATTTGACTTCCTGTCCTGCTTAGTTTCGAAGAGCTGGAGGCCTACAGCTGCTGGTGAATCTGCTGCGTTCCAATGACAGGGAGGTGCTGCACAATGCATGCTTTGCTGTGAATGTTTGTGCCAGAGATAAACCCTCTGCAGTGGAAATGTGCAAATTTGGGTAAACCTATACCAGTGTATTAAATATATTAATATGTTAAACTGAACAGTTTTGAACTGTAACAGCAGAGAAATGTTTCTTAAACATACCAAACAAAAACATCTGTTGTTGTTTTCTGTTTATTTCTGTTCCTCAGAGCCCTGAACTTACTTCAAGAAATCAGACAGTCAGCAAATCGTAAAAACCCTATTAGTGATGTGGCCATAGTCAGCCTGCTGAACGCCAACTTACCAGCTAAATTCAGCCTGACAGGACAGCTGTCCTCTACTGACATTATTACTGGTGGATTTTATGATGCGGGGAAGGTTGGTTTCCTCTTTTTTTTAAGTATAACGAGACTACTGGTTTGAATTGATGCGTTTGCTCTACAAAGTGTTCTTAACTAATTCATTCATTTGAAAAAAAAAAAGCAGGGACTTGGTGTTTTTGATACGTTCAAAGTGTTGATGGGTATTTTACAGGAACCTCTTAGGTGAATATTCAAGGTTTCAGTTGGTCTTTCTGGCAGAAAGACTTGAGGACAAGTCAGCTGTTTTACCTAAAAGGGTGTGTTTGTGTGTTGCAGGTTTGTTCAGGCCAGAGGATTCGGACTTTACAGGAACTGTTCAAAGAACCACTCAACCAGCACCGACCCATTATTGTTGTCGGTACTGCGACARGGTATAATTCACTCTATACACGTTTACAAGGATGAAGGAAAATGTTTGCCTGAATTCACATATTTTATAGCTTTTAAAAGACAAAAATACAAAAATTAGCAGTAAATTTACCTGCATATTTCTAAATCTTCAATCTTTTTCAGTTTACCCCTCAACTTGTGTATACAAACATTATTTAGCATTTTACTTTAATGGCATCAGTGACTGCAAAAAATCCGAATTTTAATATTTAAATGTGTATTTTATTTATTTATTTATTTATTGTTGTTGAAGAAAGACAGTACATGTGTAGGGGTCACCCCGATGGGGAATAAACATTTCCGCCTGTCTTTGACCCTGGTCTCAGAAGACCTCCCTCAAAAGAGACATTTTATTTTCTTTAATCARGATAATCAACAAAATAGTAATGTTCTTTATATTTTTGATTTATATTTTCTTTTAACTAAAAGTTATTATCATTTTATAAATCAAAGTTACATAATAAAATGAATAGAAAAAAAGAAAAACACACAAAAATAATATTGTTCCAATGTCTCTTTATTTGTTGTTTTTCTTTTTTTCTATTCATTTTATTATGTAACTTTGATTTATAAAATGATAATAGCTTTTAGTTAAAAGAAAATATAAATCAAAAATATAAAGAACCGTATTATTTTGTTTATTATCTTAAAGAAAATAAAATGTCTCTTTTGAGGGAGGTCTTCTGAGACCAGGGTCAAAGACAGGCGGAAATGTTTATTCCCCTTCGGGGTGACCCCTACACATGTGACAGAACAGAAGCAAAGGAACTAAGAATTTGTTAAAAGACAAGTGTGTGTACTTGTRTTTGTTACATTTTTAGGACCGTTTCTGGTATACGCACCTACCTTGTCAAGACCTTATGGGGACCAAAGACCGGTCCTAATATGGTGAAACACCATTCTTGGGTTGGGGGGTTTAGGTGTGAGTTAAGTTTAAGGGTTAAGTATGTGGTTAGATTTAGGGTAAAGGGTCAGGGTTAGGCTATGGAAAGGACTGGAAATGAATGGAAGTCAATGAACGGTCGTAATAAGGATAGAAACACAAATGTGTGTGTGTGTTTATGGTGTGTGTGTGTACAGAAAAGAGGAGAAAACACTTTTGGTTGATGGTATGGTTGAGATATTTAGGGCTGTTTATTTCACTTTATTCCAGTCTTGAATATAAAACTGGTTTTCCCTTTAAAAGAAAGTTTGCTTTAAAAAGTCTAACAGTCTGCACAGGAAGGAGAAACAGGAGGCTGAAGATGATGGTGATGAAGCTTACTTTGAGTCTTCAGAGGAACCAGACACGATGGTTGATGACAGCTCATTGAAGACGCTGGTTGAAAAGTCGAAACGATCCGTCTTCCCTTTGAGGGGTGAAAAAGAACAGTACGCTGCCTTGGGCAGGTAAGAAAAGAAGACTTAATGTTGGAGAAGAGAGAGAAAAAAAAAAGACCAGATAGGAACGATCCATTTGTTCACATCTTCAAAGCCTTGAAAACCAAACCAAACTGGAAGCACTTGTGAAATGTTGTCAGGCTTGTGAGTGAAGCCATGGGCGGAGCTGTGGCGGTGGGGAAGATGTACGAGTTCTCGTGGGTTCCACACATCAGTGAGCTCAAGTTTCAGCTCAAATCCAACATTATTCCCATCGGTTTGATCAACAAGGGGATCTACTGCCACAGAGCGCTGCTGTTCAAGGTACAGCTAGTTCCAACATAGATTAAGTGAATTCAATAGAATATAAAAACTGCGTATTACTATTTTTTTTAAGTATATTCTGTTCCGTCTCTTCTGAAACTTTCAGTATCTTGCCGACTGCCTTGAAATGAGCTGCACTCTGGTCAGGGGTGACTACAACCGGGCCTGGAATGAAGTAGAMCTTTTCCCTGAGAATCCCAACGATCATAACAGTTCTCAGCCCCGCAGCTACATAGTAGATCTGATGCATGAACCTGGAACCTTACTGGAAGTTGGTACCCCAGCTGCTCTGCAGTATCAGACCATCTGAGCAGTTTTAGTGAGGAACGCTTCATTCTCTGTGGAAAAGCTTTAAATGAAACATTTTCAGTCACATCAGTTGACTCTTTTCGTGCACACACAGCACTTTTAGAAAAACTGCAATGATTATACAATAATAAACAGCTCTTAGGAATAGTAGTTTATGAATACATTAAATTTAAACGGTTTTTAACATTTTTATAGACTAATAAAACATGGTGTATAAAACCTTTACTGAACAAGGATTTTTAATGACCCAACTTACACATCTAAATAAAATATGTGCACAATAAGTAAATGGTATTTTCATTTTCCTAATCTATTAGGAAATAGAATAACACTCATTATACTATGAAAGAAATGACCAAACTGAGTAAAAATATATATATAGCAGCAGTGATATCCACCTGTTTATCAGGTAAAATCAGTCAGATATGATGAAGACAAGTTCTCAATACATCCAAGAACCTGAACAAAAGACACAACCCTAAACATAAACTGGTGCAGTACACGTGTACTTTTTAATTTATTTTATTCAAACGAGACATGTACAACTGGTGCAAACACTTGAAATGGACAAAGAAAGACAGAATGAGTCGTGCCTAATAATTAAATAAGATTAATACAAGTTTTAGGTGCAGAAAATCCTAACAGCATTTTTATATGTAAAATTAGTTTACACACCAGTTCAACAAGACACGTCGTTTTTTTTATATCAGTGCCTATAAAAAAAAACTTTTCAAAGATTCTTGTTATAGGGAAGAAAATGTGTTTTTTTCTTTCAATAGGTTGCAGCATTTTTTTAGTAAATTGAATTCATTGTGATGTTGACAAGTAATTTAAGWAAAGCTGTTTTAAACCTCTCTCTTCCTTCATACTGCCATTAGTCTTGAGGATCTAAATGTTGCAGGTTACAGTCTTCTTAAAACTTCAACACTTCATTAGAGAACACTAAACCATGTACTTTTACTAAGGTCATGTACACAGTACTCCTTTTTAGTTTAAAAAAAAACTTTGACCTGTTTGCAGAAAAAAGCTCTTGAATGTGCGATATTGGGTGGAGGGGGACAACAATGCTTGAACAACCTGTAAGTGTAGTAAAAATTTCAGTCAAAATGTTTTAATGTGATTACAGTAATAAAACTAGTTTATCCTAAGTTGACATAAAAGGGGTATTTTTGTTAAATTCATAAGGATATTTTTAAGATTTATAGCACATATAAAACACTTGTAATTGTCATTTATATGTGCCAGACTGATAAATTTCTGCCTTAAAATGTCTTTATTTTTTAACCCAGAGGGGTTATAATTTAAGGGGTAGAAGAGAATTATGTCTTTTCCAGGCACAYAGTTCAGTTCTRTACCACARTCAAGTAACTATGTTGTTAACATAACTTCAGTTGTTATGAAAAAGCTGCAGACTATCTAAATCCCTTGAAACTGGCTTCCTACCATTTCAGACACTCCTACTTCAGCACGTCTTCACAACAATGCTCCAGGGGAGGGGTTCTCTGTGGGGCAGAAACTCAGATGGGGAGTGAGCTTCAGGGAGGAGCTTTGTGTAAATAGGCGGTGCTTTGTACCAGCAAGTGTTTAGGCAGCTCCACGTGGCCACAGGAGATTCAAGGATTTCTCAAACATGAACGAATGAGTAAAAGAAACACTGGGTGTGTTTTTGATGAGGGAAAGACATTGTTGTGATAAAAGCTAAAATAAATACCCCTTTAAAGATTTTAGCTCASTTAGTTAAATACAGTGTTTTCATATATGATCCTTAATAAAATTATATTCATCACAGTTTAGTTACGTCACAGTATGGCTCCAAATATAAACAACTTTTATGCAAACAGATAACCAAACTGTAGTTTGTGTTGCTTCAATCTGGTTTAGAATTAAAATTTGCCGACATTTATGATAAACTACAAACACTTGAATTTGACACTCTGAGTCACCGTGAGGGCTTTTGGGAAAAAAAGGTTAAACAGATACCTTTGCATTAAACCTGGGCATACAAATATGTTTTTTAGTGTTATTTGCTGTATTTAGTTTGATTCCAAAACAAAAGCTGCAGAAACAGCAAGTTTACCTGAGAGAGACTTAATAAGCTAATGGACCCCCTTTGGATCTAAGCAAAACATTTAAATTGAGCAAGAGGACCTGCAGCGTGAACATAGCCCAAGTTTTACCAGTCATTTCAGATCAGCGCTTACATCACAATAAAAAGGTTTCTCTCTTGCGTGAATTTTCATGTGCACATTTAAAGTAGCTTTATGGCCAAATTTTTTCAGGCAGACATCACAGCTAAACTTTCTCTCTCCCGTATGAACACTCATGTGCGTCTTTAAATGCGCTCTTTGGCTAAATCTTTTTTCACAAACGTCACAGCCAAACGGTTTCTGTCCTGTGTGGACTCTCATATGCGTGATTAAATTTGTCTTGTGATTAAACTGTCGTTCGCATAAGTCACAGCTGAACAGTTTCTCTCCTGTGTGGACTCTCAAATGTGAATTTAAGTGTGCCTTACGGCCAAACCTTTTTCCACAAACATCACATCTAAAAAGTTTCTCCGAGTGAATTGCCACATGTCTGTTTAAATAGGACTTTTGGCTAAATCTGCGTTCACAGAAMTCACAAACAAACGGTTTACTTCCTGTGTGGATAATCATGTGAGTTTTTAAACATGACTTACTRATAAACCGTCGTCTGCACAAATCACAAACAAACGGTCTCTGTCCTGTATGGATTCTTATGTGTTTGTTTAAATTCGTCTTGCAGCTAAACTTCTGTTGACATACGTCACAAACGAATGGTTTTTCTCCCGTGTGGATTTTCTTGTGCTCTTTTAAAGTTGTCTTATGGCCAAATTTTTTTCCACAAATGTCACAGCCAAATGACTTCATTCCTGTGTGGACTCTCATGTGTCGGTCTAGGTTGGTCTTCTGGCTAAAGCTTTGTCCGCAAACATCACATACAAAAGGTTTGTCTCCTGTGTGGACTTTCATGTGTTCGTTCAAAGTTGTCTTATGGCCAAATCGTTTTCCACAGACATCACAGCCAAACAGTTTCTCGCCTGTGTGGGTTCTCATGTGTCTGTCTAAGTTGGGCTTTTGGCTAAATTTTTGGTTACAAATATCACAACCAAACGGTTTCTCTCCTGTGTGGATTCTCACATGTCTGTTCAAGTAGGTTTTTTGGCTAAAGCTTTTACCACAGTCATCACAACTGAATGATCTCTGTTGTGTCTGATCTTTCCTTTTCTTTAATCCAAAACATTCTTGATCAGCTGAACCTGAAAACCTTATTTTATAATGACTTGTCATGTGTCTCTGCAGAGACTGGTTGTTACCAAATGTTTTACCACAGTCAGTACAGATTAAGGATATGTTCTCAGTGTTTACATCTGACTCGGAACCTCTGCTGTCTTCATCATCCTCTTCATCATCCACACTGACTTCCGTCTCGGAAGAGTTGGAATCCTCTTCATCAGTATTTAGATCTGGGCTCCTTGTGGTTTCGGCTCCTTCGCAGTTCTTTTCACCAGATGCAGATGTCATCCAGTCAGCTGAGGTGCTGATGGGAATTTCTTTGTTTTTGATTTGGTGCTCATGAAGCTGTGACAACAGGGGTTTCTCCTCATCATCCTCACACTTCAGGTGAGCGTCGGTGAAAGGAAACCTAGTAGCATCAGTCTCCTTCATCATATTGAGCTGCTCCCCGTCCAGACTGGTCCAGAGTTCCTCCTCCTCCTTTATGCGGTGGGGTTCTGGGTCCTCTGGGTTCACACAAGGCCTCCATTCTTCAGGAGCGCCTCTGTTAATCAACACTGAGTGCTGAAGACCTGTGGGAGGACACAGATTCACATACATAATGAGCAAATTTATGTTCTCGCATACATCTTGTGGTATTGCTGAAATTACCGATTAACTGTCAAAACATTAATGCTGTATGTCAGTAATCTGTTTCCTATTAAAACATTAAACAACAAATGTTTTAGGTGGCCAGCACTTCACTTTTAGCACCATGTCTTGTTTTACCAGCTGAGAGATGATGCAAGAATATAATAAATAATATACCTTACATAGCTTACAGAAATCATAGTGGAAGCGCTTTGCCTCGATAATAAACTGACTCCAGACTGAACAGGACCAAGAAATATGACCAGATTGTAAGAAATATTCGTGTTCAAAGACTGAAGTCAATAGAGAACCACCAATGTTAAATAATATGATCGTTAGACGAGATAAAACCATACAAAACCAGAATTCTGGAGTGGGGTTTATTGCCATACGGAGCTGAAAGGAAACCACACACTGCCAGCAAACCAGGAAGTTGATCCATTTATACAGAGTCTTCAATGCCCGCGTTCGCCCCCTACTGACCTACGGCTGAATCACGGGCATTCATACACAATTCTCACCTACTGTTCTCATAACGGATAAATATGTGTTGTTATAGATATTTCGAACATGTAACTAATCTATATCAATCAACACATAATAGATTAAACATTATAAAAGGAAAACCTAAAAATATAGTGTTGTGTTTTTAACATCAGTACTAAACTCTAATAACTATAAATTTCTTCAAGATGATGACAGTGTTTCTAATTTTAGCATTTTCTCATTGTCAGTGTCTATTTATTTCCTTTTTTACAAGTTATTTATATTTCAGTCATAAAAGAAATGTAGAAAAAAACAAGGAATTGCAAGAAACATTAAGAGCAAGTAACGTTAAAATAAAATACAAAAATCACATCATAAAACTTTCAGCTCAGTTGAATCTCAGGGTCTGTCTGAATCAAAAGCCAAGTAAAAAAAGAGAAATCTTAAGTATAAACAATTGGAATCTATTCCAAAAGTAGACTGCTTCTCAGAGATAGTGACAGGAGAAATGAGTCTGAAGATATAGGTTTAGACTAAATTTTTGTTCAGGGTGACTTAATGATTTGTGTGTTGATCATGCTTGAGTAATATTTTGTGTGTTTTAAGAAATGTATTAAAGCTTTCAGCCTGTCAAGAACAAAGTCTCCTTTGTATTTAATGCAATAAACGTATTTCTTTGTCACATTTTTGTGACTCTGATGTGGTGGATCTTGGGTTGGTTTCCAGGTGTGCTCCCACAGTTTGAAAACTACTGGGCCTGCAAGTGCTTAGTTCGAGTATTTTCTTATGTGTGGACCACAACAAGAAACAAAATAACAAAAAGGAATTCAAATTTTAGAAAGCAGCTGACTCTGATCGACAGACTTCGTTCTGTTCATACATTGAGGTGTAAAGCCTTTGTATAATTTGTAACCTGTGATGAAAGACAACAGTTACAGAGAAAACAGAAATATCAGCATGGTTTCATTAAATAGTTTCTCTTCTGTGAGCCCACAGGTGAGCTGTCTCCTTCTACAGGAAAGTTAGATTAAACAACACATTTTCCTAGTACAGAAGCTTTATAAGTTTGTATAGGTTCTTGTTTAAATTTGTTATATTTTACAGGTTTTACGCCATATCTGTAAAACTGGCAGAGCCATACCCATTTTTTGGATTTTCTAAAGTCACTTGGTTGGTTGTGGTGGCCACCATGAAAAGGGTAACTCCAATGGATACCCAGAGATTACTTTCTGGGCTTTTCATTAAAATCCACGCAAAGATTCATGAGCTATTTTGCAAAAAGTAAAAGCAACCAAACACAAGCAAAAACATTACGGTTCTGTTTTCGGTCATAATGAAAACCCACAAGACATCACATCGAGGCATAAACAATAATGCCGAGGCTCAATGTTGTCTCCTGCTGAGGAAAGTGCTTTTTATTTTATTTTTATTTTTTTAATTCAGGCCGGCAATTCTTTACAGGCCTCGTAGACGTTTAACAGTGCTTGGCGCATCTAATAACAAAGAATGATGGTAGAGTTTTGATCAGGCATCGACGCAGACTACTACCTTCTTGCCTCAGTTCATCTCAGAAGTCCCACTTAGCATCCAGCTAACGCCGTTAGCTAGCAGAAAACTAACAAACCTGAGCTGCGTAGTCCATCCCTGGAGTTAAAATCAAGTTCCCGTGTTTTGCTTTGCTGTTCATTTTCCTTTAAACTTGACCGCTCCTCTTCGTAACCTGCCTGTGTTCGTTCAGTAAGCTCATCTTCCACAGCAGCATCCCGTCCCTGTTTAACCTGCTGTTTCCACATTTCAGAGCTTTGACCGTCCAAGTATTCATTTAACCCTTACTGCGCAGCTGCAGCTGGGCCGAACTCATGACACTAAAACTATTGCAAAGGGTTATGCAAACTCGGTTTACAGTAAAACAAGTAAGCTGAAACTTTGCAGGTACGTTCGTGTATGAAGAAAGTAGTTCCGGACCGGCCGGGTGTCTCACTCCTCTTCTGGGGAAATCCTGCTGTAAAGTGGTGTTAGTTTCTCAGTAGCGACGCCTACAGGTTCAGAGGAGAAATGCAAGCGAATGACATTATGCATGATATAAAGCTCTAAAACGTGGATTTTGCATAATAACCCCTCCCCACCGTAATATTAACGATAATAATAATTTATTAGAGTGTATATAAGCTATCTAATGTATATAAAATGTCAGAAAGATGTGTGTGTTACAGATGTACCAACAGAAGAGAAACAGAAAAAATGTCTCATTTCACAAGTAAGCAGATTTCATCTTATTTACCTCAATGTGGATGTGATCTGAACATAACTTAAGCCAATAATGTAACAGTTTCAAATTAAAATAAGCTTATAAAGATGATGTAATCACTCCTAATTATTGAATTTRTCAGCAGATGTTAGCTTCTGTAGGAGAATGTAAAACGCTACTGAATCATGCTCCAATTCGGCACAAATTAAATATTACAAGTTGGTTCTGCCTTTGATTTATGTAACATTTACACAGTTATTTTTAGGTTTCTATTACTCAAACCTGACATTGAGAGATGGTTATTTAATAGAGGCAAGTTCATTGGGCATATAGTGACCATTTTGTAAGAGTCAAAACATTTAATAGCCTACATTTCTTAAAACATACAAAATATTACAAAACAGTTAAATAATAATATACATTTATTACTAGTTGAAGTCATAATTATTTAACTAGCTTAATGGTCAAAATGAGTGACTGACTTCAGGTTTAGTTTAAATCAGTCCTTATAACTGATATACAGTATATTCCTTATATCCTCTAGCTGCTTTACATGATTGTTGAATAAAATTAACATAATTAACAAATATATCAATTTATTCAAAAAAAGATTACAAATAATTTGTGTCACAGATAGAGTTGGGGTTGCTGTTAATCAAATAATTTGTCGGCTGTAAGCTGTTGCCCTGGTTGGATGCCATCTTTGCTCCACCATGTCACAGATGCTAATGGTGGACAAGATAAAAAAAAAAGAAAAGCTGAATTCCAGACATAAATGATTATTTAAGGACAGGAGAATTTAAATACTTTGACTAGCTCCATCAGTTTCCCCTAATTGTCAGTTTACATCATGGACATCATTGTCAATAAAATTCACCTCTCAGCCCACAGTCACTCTTGACAATTTACTGAGGTGTTTTTATGTAATGTTGGAGGTACTCTTGGTAATATTCTGCAGCTCGTACGAATTATATTGGCTTCATTTTATAGGTGTAAAATGTTTTTCCACATTTGTCCCTTTAAAGGTTTTTTTAATGATATGACTGTGCAATTTAATAGTGACCATCTAGCCAGCTTTAGATTATTTGGAGTTGTAGTGATCACCCAGAGTGAACTTTAACTGGAATTCATCAGTCCATCAACTGTCTTCTCCCCCACCCCACCCCATCTTTTTTTAAATTTTCTTTTTTAATAATCTGTTAATAACTGTGCATTTCAACTCAGAATCAGGACATGCTGAAATTTACACTGATCATTCCAGGTGCTATCAACCTGATCATTTCCAACAAACACAACTTCCTTTTTTTTTTTTCAGGGCTCAACTATCAGACGACTTTCAGACACCTCCTTAGTTGTTCCAGATTTAATCATCTAATTGTTTTCATTTATTGAGAAAGTGAGTAATAATCTGTAGTATTTATATCAGACATTACTTTGTGTCAGAAATGTAAAACTAAAGGATTATCAGTAAAACAGTAACAAAAATAACTGTTCTAATAACTTTCCATGAGTTATCCATTATAAAACACTACTGAAGCATCTTGGAGCAACATGAACACCAGAATGAAACCTTTCCTGGGAAGTTGTTTACTATAACTTACTGTATTTAACATGGACAAAATCTAATTGATATGGTAAATGGACTGTACTTATATAGCGCCTTTCTATCCATCCAGGACACTCAAAGCGCTTTACACTGCAGACATTCACCCATGCACACACACATTCACACACTGATGATGGCAAACTACAATTGTAGCCACAGCTGCCCTGGGGCGCACTGACAGAGGCGAGGCTGCCATACACAGGCACCACCGGACCCTCTGACCACCATCAGTAGGCAAGGCGGGTAAGGTGTCTTGCCCAAGGAGACAACGACTGAGTCGACTGGACAGGAATCGAACCACGACCTTCCGGTTCAAGGTCGACTCCCCTAACCATTCTACCACAGCCGCCCCAGTATGAAAAACCTGGCTTGCATTTGTAGAAATGCACAAACATATTTGACCAATGCATGAATGTAATACATTTAAAGGCCTTACCAAACTAGGGAAACGATGAAGAAACAGTCTATTCATTCGAAATATTTGTTTACTTAAAGTTGTATTAAAAGTACTTTTTGTCAACTTGTTTTATTTGAGATATTGTAAAATAATAAAACCAGAAATAATGCATATAATACTTGTATAATTATAGATATTTTTGCCAGACCCAGAACATTTTCCAGAAAAAAAAATAAAAAATGCAGATGAAAATGTTTTTAACATCTGAAAATTTACAAAATTTAGTATAGCTGCAAAAGCACAGAAGTCTAAATTCATATTCATAGAAACAAGCCTGGAACTACTTGCTAGCAAAGATTGTCATTTTCTTGGAAAACTAAATTTGTATTCTATGGTAAAAAGAACCAGAAAGAAAAAATAAACACACATATTTGTAACCACAGCTGTTGCTGACACCCAATTTCCACATTACACTTACTATTTAACAACATTCACTGCACCTGTGCAGTTTCAGTTCATAAAATTCACAGTTAAATAGTTTTCTCTTTTGAGTGGATTTTCATGTGTCTGTTTAAATTAGGCTTTTGGCTAAATCTTAGTCCACAAACATCACAATTAAACGGTTTCTGTCCAGTGTGGATTCTCATGTGTGTGTTCAAACTTGTCTTTTGGCTAAATCTTTGTCCRCACACATCACATCGAAATGGTTTTTCTCCCGTGTGGACTCTCATGTGATTGCTCAGATGTGGCTTTCGACTAAAGTTTTGTCCGCAAACGTCACACTCAAATGGTTTCTGTCCCGCGTGGATTCTCATGTGTCTGTTTAAACTCGTCTTTCGTCCAAATCTCTGTCTGCAAAAATCACAACCAAATGGTTTTTCTCCTGTGTGAACTTTTATGTGCGAGTTTAACGTTTCTTTATAGCTAAATCTTTGTCCGCAAACATCACAAACAAATAGCTTCTGTCCAGTATGAATTCTCGTGTGATTGTTCAGATATGTCTTTCGGCTAAACCTCAGTTCACAAACGTCACATCCAAACGGTTTATCTCCTGCGTGGATTCTCATGTGTCTATTTAAACTTGTTTTTCGACTGAATCTTTGTTCACATTCATCACAACTAAATGGTTTTTCTCCTGTGTGGATTATCATGTGTGTGTTTAAACTTGATTTTTGGCTAAATCTTTGTCCGCAAACATCGCAAATGAATGTTTTTTCTCCTGTGTGAATTCTCAGGTGTGCGTTTAAATTTGTTTTCCTATTAAACTTTTTGCCGCAGTCATCACAACTAAAAGGTTTCTCTCCTGTGTGGATTCTCATGTGTTTGTTGCGATTAGTTCGTTGACTAAATCTTTTACCGCAAACATCACAACTAAACAACTTTAGTTTTGTCTGATCTTTTCTTTGGGAGTCTACATTCTTCTTTACTCGAAAACATTTGTTCCAAACCAAACAACTTGAAGACTTTATTCCTAAATGACTTGTCATGTGTCTTTTGAAAGACTTGTAGTTAAACTGTTTACCACAATCAGAGCAGATCAAAGAGGTGTTGACAGAGTTTACATCAGACTCGGGAGTCCTGATCTTCTCGTCTTTGCCGCTGCTTTCATTTATTGACCCAGGGTCTGACAAGTCTTTTAGCTGACAAACAGGAAAGCTCAAATCTTCTTCATCCTCTTCTTCATCATCATCTTCATGCTCACTGAATTCAGTCTCTGAAAAGCTGGAATCATCCTCATCAGTATTTAGCTCTTGGTTCCCAGTAGTTTCTGCTTCTAGATTGTCCTCTTCACAGGCTTCTAATTTCATCTGGTCAGCTGAACTGCAGGCTGGAAAGTTTCTGTCTTCCATTTTTTGTTCATGAAGCTGTGACAAACCATGTTTCTCTTCATCCTCCTCATGCTTCAAAGGAGCCGCAGTGAATGAAAGCCTGGTGGCATCCATCTCCTCCTCCTCACTAAGCTGTTCTCCCTCTAGACTGTTCCCGAGTTCCTCCTCTTCCTCTTTTATGTGGARCAGCTCCGGGTCCTGATGATCCACATCATGTCTCAATGCTTCTTGATTTTCTTCTTTGATCAGCACCGTCTGCTCGACATCTAAAGGTAAACGACACCATATGTACATTATGAATAACTGCAGCTTTATTTTCACACAATCATCACTGCTGAGTTTATAGAGTGTCAGATGGCTGTGAGAAAAACATCTGAAACCAACTCTACAGAAGGCAGACATCTCTATGACTGGTTCCCAGATAATGGTTTTAAAAAAATAACCAAAGACAAATAACAGAGGCTTGTAGAACCCTGAATAACTTCTAAAATGGCTTTAGGTTAGGAAAAACAACCATAATAGTTAGGGCTGGGTTTTAAAAAAAATGATTTAATCGATCTGGATCGATTCTCGTTCAAATTTGGGAAAATCGATTCATAAGTCATGAGATCGATTTTTCCCCATGGGTGTTGTGTGCGATGAAGCTGCGCGTTTCCATGCTGTGTGTCACTCCTGGCTTGCCGTAGTTTTACAGCCGGTTGACGGTGAGCGCTAACATTAGCACCCGACAACAAATTGTCTGGGGCAAAACAAAAGAAACAAAGGAATCACTAACATTGCAGCTGATTCTCAGATGAACTTAAAGATAACAGAGGTCATGACAACTTTTGTTTGCAAAGATTTGCGCTCGGATGCGGTAACGGGAAACCAAAACTACGGTATGTAAACATCTGACTGAAACTGTTCTCCTCTGCATGTATAAATGTGTGAAAGATGACAGTCTAACAAAATCATTTAGTTTTGTTACCAATATTATTTTAAAATTTAAGAAACATCTTAATGTAACTCACAGTGATGGAATGTTGTAGCTGATGTACTTTTTTTTTTCTTTCTTCTTGTTAAGTTTTATTGAACAGCAGCTAACAGAAACATTACAAATATACAATTATCATACTCTCAAAAGAGTGGGCAGAAGTGTACACTTATATTAGCCCACCTCTTCTCCTGTAACCTTATTACATAACTTCTTACTGATCAAGAAAATTATTCTTAGTTTCTTAATAGGGCTGTGTATTGGCAAGAATTTGGCGATACGATACATATCATGACAAAGGGGTCATGATATGATATATCCCGATATATTGCGATACTGTAAGCAAGGCGATATATTGCAATATATCGCGATATATTGTGATTTTTTTGTCCAAAAATTCTATTAAATAAAAACCTCTTACTGGGAAAAAAAAAAAGAAAAACCAAAATTCATTGTCTCAGAAAATTCTAATATTACATAGGCTGTGTCCAAAACGGCAGGCCGGGTCCTCCGAAGGTCGAATTTGTCGGCCGCATACGTCACAGCGCCGCGACGA